GCATATAAATATAAAATCTTCCTGATAGATTTCCAATTTAGTATTTTGAAGTGTAAGATAGTGTCAAGTCTACCTGATTTCAATAGTGACCTACTTATAAAGTTTATATCAAGAGCCTCCTAAACTAAAATATAACTCCATTTTCACTAGAAAATAAGGAGAGTATATATGTAATTTCCAAAGAAATACTTTTGAAAAGTATAAATATTTAGAAAAAAACATTACAAAATTAATATCACATAATCAATTTTTTTCAAGAGAAATAAATCTTATTTCTAATTTTTTTAATTAATATAAAGATAGTGTCGAAAGATATCATGTAATATTTTATTTTCACTATTTGTACTAAAAATTAATAATACATAACGTTTTTACGAGCTTGTTTTTGATTCATGTTTTCAGACTACAAAAATTATATTTAAGGGTAATTAAATTATAAATAACTGATTGGATTTTTTTATCATTTTAAAAAAAAAATTAAGATAATCATTTTATAAAAGAAAAACGTATAAACATCGTGGATATAGTTGGTCAAATACCAAAAATCAATATGAATACCATTTATTTATCATGAAAAATTGAAAGTCAAAGGTGTTACATCATATATATTTTATTTAGATAATATCACAACCTTGTCAAACACATGTATCCTAAATATATTTCTTGGAAGAACATGTAGGAGGGCATGATTTTCTTGCAATCGCCATCCAAATTAAGTTAACGAGCACAACCAACACAAACACATCGACCATCAACACGAATTTTTGATAAACATGTATGAAGACATTCCTTATCGCAATCCTTGTCCACACTAGAAGAAGAAACTAAATTGGCACCAATATGGCATTTGCATTCATGATTAATACAAACCGGGAAGCCAGTTTTACACCCTGGACAATCGTTAGAAGAGGAACATGGACTCGCCCTCAAGATCGGCATACCTACGACCAATATCATAGTATTAATTTAGCTACTTTTTAAAGATGAAACAAATTTTACTTATATAAATAAAACTAATCATTAATGTATAGAGAAATCAACAATAAGGAAAAAAGAAACTAAAGGAAAAGGGACTCACATGATGCAACAATCACAAGGATGAGCAGCAACGTCGACCTAAAGATTACTCCGTCCATTTTGTTTTTGATTGACTTAATATGACTGTAGAGATAAAGTTGAGTTATTTTTTAGTTTTAACGATTCTTGATATAACCTTTATTTATAGACAGGTTACGAGTGACATTAAGCAGACGTAATATTATTTTGCAGATAAGAGTTACCTAATATAAAGTAAATTAAAAAATTTGTTTATTTATATATAGAAGATATATCATATATATTAAAATACAAAATAATAATAAATCAAATATATATATGTATAGAAAGTGAACACCAATTATGGTACAATTTAAATGTAACAAATTACATTTTTTATTAAACATATAATGAGTGATTTCATAAGCTTTTATATAGATTTTTAAGATCCTTATATTAATAATTTCTCAATATACCAACAAAATCTTTATATATTAAGAACATATTATACTATAATATTTGTTCATATCTTTTAAAGAGATTTTTTTTTTTTTTCAAATTGGTATATTATTTTATTTTAAAGTGACTATTTTACATTCCTTATTGATCCCTATAATATGCACAATAATAAATTTATTAAAAAACTTAAGTTTATAATTTTATATTAAATATAAGGAACATATTTCTTAAAGCATAAAACATATAAATATAAATTATTTAGTTTGCAAATATGTTAAATTAATTAAACTTATAGTTTATATACAAACAAAAATATTATAATAAAAAATCCATAAATTTATTTTTAAAAAAAAATAATTCTTATATAATTTTTTTTTATAATTTTATAATTAATACCAGTCAAATATTAAGACCAAAATTAATTGATTTAAATTTATATTTAATTTTACTATAATATAAAATTGTATATATACGGAATTAAAATTTATATTTAATTACTACGCTACTCTTTATAATTCTCTACGGCCATTGTCGGCCCATTAAAGAAAAGCCCTTCATACATCGCTTTGGAAAGGAAGTACCGTAGAAGATCTTCTTCCTTCTACCCTGTTAATAGGGAATCCTGCAAATCGGAGTAAACCTTTTAGCCTGCCGAAGATTCAATCGCTGATCCTTGTTTTGACCGAAGAAGATGGTACGCTAATTGTGGTTCTTGATTTTCTTTTTTCAAAAATTTCGCAAAAATTAGGGTTTGTGCAGATTTGATTGTTTCTCTTTATTTATTTCAATTGACTAATTTCTTGTGATTGTGCTTTTGTTCCTTGTTTGAATTGCTGATATTGTTATGCTTCTGGAGTCTTGAAGAATTTCGAGCATAATCCCCAATAAAATTTGGTTTTGATCTATGGAGTATTTGTGATATCCCTTCTTTAGAATTTTGCTGTATTAACAATTGTGGATGGTCATGATTCTTTCACTTTAAATTAAGAGTTATTCTAACCATCCTGCCGATTACTCTACCGGGAAGAAGAAGGTTTTTTTTTTTTTGTTAATGTTAGTGGGCGTCTTTTCTTCATTTTCTTCCAATCGAAAACGTGTTATGTATCTATCTTGCATATTTTATAGAGGTCTTCTAAACATCTAAACGATTCTTTTCCGTTTGCAGTCTTCACTTGCAGCTGCTAGGGCAGACAATTTTTACTACCCTCCAGAATGGACCCCAAAACAGGTATAGTCTTGCATTACTGCTTTGATATTTTGTTGCTCTGTGAATGAATTTTATATGCTGATATCGGTTTTATTTTCAGGGTTCATTGAACAAGTTTCATGGCCAGCATCCACTGAGAGAGAGGGCAAGGAAGATGAACCAAGGCATTCTGATTATAAGGTAATGAGTTCTTGCACTCATTAGGTGTTTTTTGTAGAATAATCATGCCTTGACTATGGATGATTAGGAAAGAATCTGATCTGGTTCATGGTATCATTACAAATATGCGTTTTTCGTTCTAGTCAATATGTAGCAGGACTTTTATCTTGGTTTATTATGCATAAAAATCAGGAGAATAGAGTTCTTGTGAATATAATTGTTAAAGGAAGCTAATTCTAGAATCGATTTCTTCTGAGATGGCATAGGGTCCTTTCTGTTTTCGATCCGTTTCCTGATTATATGTTTTTGATGAAGGCAAAACTGACAATTAATTCAAGTTTGTAATCCTTATGAACTGTCAAGAAAGTAGGATAATCGTAATTAAACTTTATTCGTTAAATTTCACCGATTCTATTGTTTAACAAGTCTTAGTTGTCCACTTATTGTGGGAGCACATGTCAAATTTCACCATGTTGAACTTAGACTTCTCAAGTTCTTTTTGTTACTAATATTTCTGGTTTCAGGTTCGAAATGCCATTCAATGTGTGGTGCGGTGGATGCAATTCTATGATTGCAAAGGGTGTACGATTCAATGCAGAAAAAAAACAAGTGGGAAACTATTATTCTACAAAGGTATGTTCACAGGTTACTTTTATTTTTTTTGATGGGAAAGCTAACATGTTGAAGAAAACATCAAATTAGTTACCCTATGTGATTTGGAGAGTTTAAATACATTCAGTTCCATTTTGTTTAATGCTGCTTATCTACGTGATATAAGGAACTTCTCTTACATGGCTTTCTTTTAGCCATATTTTTATGATCTAAAATTATTTCTTAAAGTACACTAGCATTAAATTTTCTTGTTTGTATAGGGTTCTCTATGGCACTAGTTTGTGTGCTAACAGTAAATTTCTTCTTCTCGTTTAGATATGGAGCTTTACCATGAAATCTGCTTGCTGCCAACATCAGATTGTTATCCAGACGGATCCGAAAAATTGTGAGTATGTGATTATCAGTGGGGCTCAGCGAAAGACTGAGGACTTTGATATTGAAGATGCAGAGACCTTTGCGCTTCCAGCGGATGAAGGTTAGTATTCACCACTTTAAGCCACTAAGGGGTTTATATTTTGCTTTTAGGTGCACAATGCCTATTACTTTGCTGCTCAGTTCTTCTATCTTTGCTTTTTATTGAATAATTTTTTTTGGTATAGAAAAAGGTAAGCTTGCAGACCCGTTTTATCGACTCGAACACCAGGAAGAGGACTTACAGAAGAAGAAAGAAGCTGAACCAGTACTTGTTCGCCTCCAGAGAGTGTCTGATGCAAGGCATTCAGATGATTATGCCATCAACAAAGCTCTAAGAGCCCAATTGAGGGTAACTTCTTGATTTCTGTTAATTAAAAAGGATATTTATTTCAACCTTGTTTATCAATCTTTTCTCACGCTTCTTTTTTTGTTTCCTATTCTCAGAATCAGAAGAAAAGAGTTGCTGACGAAGAGAGGGCTTCGAAAAAAATGGGGCTAGGCATACGGCTGCTTCCAACGAGCAAAGAAGATGCTGCTGCTGCAGCACATGTGAAGTTCTCATCCAAGTTTGACCGAAACAGGAAGGATAAACGAGCGCTGATTAATGCTTCTTCGATTTTCTCTGGATCATCAGCATCAACCTCAAATTCAAAGCAATTGGAGTTAGAATCAAAGAGAAGAAGAATCAGTGCATCTGCAGCTTCTAATTTGCTGAGAGGAGGATTCAAGCCGTCATCGTGGTCACAGAGTTCTTTGCTGTCAAGCAGGCATAATCGCGCCCCAGTCACCGTAAGAAAATTTTAGATAGAGTTCCCTTAAAGTTGTAAGATGATTGTTTTACTTGTCAGATGCACGATGGGGAATTCTGGTATGAAGCCCATGTAAATATGCATTTACTTGAATTTCTCATGATCTCTGTTTTTTTGGGCAAATTTTCTCTCAAAGTGGGTGTTGTATGATATAATATTTTTGAAATGGGATGTTTTTCAAGTTTCTTGAGCAGCTAATAACTACATTATGTAGTATATTTATCACAGTATATATGTATAGTTGGTGTTTAGGATTGGCATAGGTGGTTTCTTCTGTCTGATTGAGCTTCCATAAATTTTTGCTTGGGGGATTGTTTTATTTTCTTTCTGAGCTAATCTGTTGATTCCAATTCATTTATTTATATATTCTCTGTTTACTTTTTAAAAAATTCTCAAAATATACAATTCATGAATTAAAATGGGTTGAACCCAAAAATAATTTATAACCATATTAGTTCGAATTTTTTTAACGAATTATAACCATGCCAACTAAAAGAATCTTATTACCGAAAATTATTTTTTTTACAAATATAGTAATTTTGATATTACTTAACTTAGTTTGATCACGATAATTTTATTAATATATTAGTGAATTAAGTTATCGATTCAACTGAATCAAACAATATAAATATCTCGAGAGTCTTTTAATTCACACCAAATTTTTTTATTATAATTTTGGTGGCTCAAAATCTAACTAAAACCTTCAATTTCATTAGATTTTAAAACTTGCAACGAATTTTAATTTGGTATAAGTATTTAGTACTTATAATAAAGTAAATATTGTAAGTAACGAACAACTATTTAGTTGAATAATTTATATTTCTCATTATATAAAAAATGTATTATCTAATTATGAATCTGTAAATTTTTTAAACTTTTAATTTAAAGATATCTACTTGATATACTTTATATATTTATCTATTTTTATGTTCTAGCAGTTTGATCAATGTAATTAGTTGGCAACATGTTATAAAGTGATCATAATGAATAATGGCCATTAATGTATCTATCAGTAACTCTCTCTCTCTCTCTCTCTCTCTCTCTATATATATATATATGTATATACACATATTACTCTAGGTATATACATATGTAGATTATGCAAAGGCTAGGTATTAAACCGCAATTCTCAATTTTATGTGTAAAAAGTAAAAAACATGAAATGAGTATGGAGCAGATATAGATTTAATGGTATAACCATCCCCTCCTCCTCTTTATATATGATTACATTTTAAATATCTATTTGTATGAATAATTTAATTAGTTTAAATCTATAATTACATGTTACAAAGTACGATACGAGTAGAGATATAATAAGTAATAAAACGAGTAAATTTAGGTAACTATGATATATGACCGATAAAAATATTTACGGGTAATGAATAAAGAATGTATTATCGAATTTATATGTGAAGTAAATACGAGTATATATGTTTTTAGACAAGCGAGGTGTAAAAAAAATCATAACTGCCGGTTTATATCCATCTCATACCCTGTCTCGTGTTCATCCCTAAACACTGTACAATCCACCTGATGATAATGATTAAATTCGAAATTAGTGAATGCGTGGAAAACTCACATGCATGCGATGGTGAAGCGTTCTGTTCAAGCATGTTCCTTATTTAAGCCTCTGCTTATAACTCGCATGCATGTACTTTTTGATTACTATTAATTTATATGTATATGTATACATATGTATTCATTACGACTGATCAGGAGCTAAAGCTTCTCTGTTAATTAATTAGATGGGGGATTACCAACCTTTATAGCCAAGTGGAGAGAAGTAGAACACAAGCCACCGGCTCTTGTCTACATATATATATATATATATATATATAGATCATCATGCATGCATCTTCATGTAGCTGCAAAATAATATTGCCTTGTGCTTTAAGCCTGAATCATGATATAGTCATAATTAGAAATCTAAAAAATATATAACGTAAATATTAGATTGGCCCAATATATACATATATATATATATATATACACACACACACACACATTAGATTAAAATTCACCTAACAATTAAATTAAAATATTTACTCTTGCTCATGGTAGATATATATTTATATTTAAATACTAAAAAATTTGAAAATGTTATTTACTATTAGTAAAGAACCCTCTAATTATATATATATATATATATATATATATATTGAATTTTGTTGAACTGACTAGAATCTCATCAACCCACTTACGATCTTTTTGCTTTTGTTTATCTCTGTGAAAAAAAGTCAGTCCAGGGACCTATATATACAAGCTATATAGCAATAATTACAGTCCTGTCTAACTTTCGTTATGACTTGGGGTTGATCTATATATATATATATATACATATATATATATATAATGGTTGAATTCATATTGGTTTAGAGACAAAGCTAGGAATAATTGCTGTTCACTTTCGGCTTTGGTAGAAAGAAAAGGAATAATGAGAAGGTAATGTGGAAATGCACTTGGCAATTTGAAAGAGACTTAACGAAGATTGGATTTGGAAGCGCAGTGTCCCACTTTGAGGACACATTCCATGCATTTTTGGATTCAGCTGCTATATATATATATATATATACATATATATATATATGCATATATATATATAGGTTAACACTTTTGACTCTACCAGTCGATAGAATCCATATTGACCGAGCAAAAACACATTAGTTCTTGTTTAGTTTCTTTAATTTGACTGTCACATGCTTATATTCATACATATATTTATGTAGAGAGGGTTAATTATTAAGACATATATGAATATAGTTATAATGATCAATACATCTAGACAGCTTTTCTAGCAAAAATCATGTGGGGTTTGAAATAGGGTTGAGAGCTTGATCATGATATATATATATATATATATATATATATATATATATATACATATACTTACTTTAGACCTAGAAAGAGATCACTTTTGAATATTAATTAATCTGATTATTTTTTTTAATTATTTGTTTATTAATACATTTATTTTAACTTGAATTTGAATCATGAAAAGACTATTAATAAAATTTTATTAATTCATAGAAATAAGTAAAGTCAATATATATATTCAAATAACTCCATATGTGACTTTGAAAAATAAGTATGTTTGATTTATGAGAAATAAAGTTTCATTTATTGTTAAAAGTTTATAATATAAAACTGAAATTTCTATAAATTATATTCTAAAACTTAAATATTAAATATTCTAAAGATATACAAGATATATATTTTTTTTTTACTTTTTGACATATTATAAATAATATATAACATAACGAACGTTTAAGAGAAAGAGAGAAATACTAATCAACTAAATTGATGTTATTCAGTAACAACGTACGATAATTGATATATTTTGAATTAGAGTGAAAGTAATTTATTATTTATAGTTTATTCTTTTTTTAGAGGTGGTATTTGATAGATTTATTAGAACTTATAAATATGAAATTATTAAATTCTTAATTACGTTAATCAATAATAGGAGTACGTTAACAAAAGCGTTACGTGATCTTAGATTGTTCTACACTCATATGGTCACGTGTCTAAACTCTTTTTTATCCAAAATCAATGTCATGTATTGTTATTATTGAACATCTCGAGATTTACAGAAAACTGTTATTAATTGATTATACGCACTTACTACTTTTCTGATATTCGTTTATTCGTAAAATTTCTTAGAATGTTATGCGTTTGTCTACTAATCAGTATAAGTGTCTTTAAATAAAAATTCTTTCTTATTGGGGTCGAGAGAGATTTTGTTTAAGATAGAAGTGGTGCGAGAATTCCATATCTTGACGATGTATCTATTGAATTCGGTTTTCTTTAGTTATTTTGCTACTCTCCTTATACTAGATTTTATAAGTTTTTATCCAAACATCTTATGTATTACATTTATCTTGTGGAATGATTATTATACTAAACTACGTCAATACATTCAAGATTTAAAGAAATAGTTGTTTTCATAACACATATATGTGTATATAATTGTTCGATTTTAAAGAAACACTATCATATATATATACATAAATACACACACACACACTTTTCTTGAGGTATTCGGCCCTTGTGATACATACTATTCGCATAGAGTGAGTGCAAGTAGTAATTTCATAACTAATTTTAGATTAATCTTTATAATACATTGGATTTTGGCTATTACTTCTCTAAATTAATTAATTAAATTACGGTATTAAATCTTTGAACATAATTAGCAAACGTCATGACAGAGTGGGGGGGGGATGTCATCATCAACCCCACACAGGAGTAGGGATGCTTCTCGTGGGTAATGTTAGTGGGTGGTGCAGCTATCATCAAATGTTTGAATTGGGTATATTGCTTATAAATAAATATACATACATATATATACATACATATATATATATATATAACCCTCGTCGATTTAAATAAATAAATTAAAAAAAAAAGGTACACAAAAGATGAAAAGATAAAACAATGGGGACCAAAGCAGCCATGCGTGTGACCACAAAAGGGTCCTTAAAAATAAATGAAGCAAAAAAAAAAAAAATCCCTTGTTACAAGCTAACTCTCCCTGCCCATATATATATATATATATGAATATATATATGTGTATATATATATATATATATATATATATTGGAGCAAGCAAACAGTGAGAAAGGGGAATGTGTAGACTAGACTTATAAGGTAAAAAGAGGAGGAGCACAAATATAAAATGGAATTGGTAAGGGAGAGGAGCACTAAGAGGAGACATTGGTAATGACCTTGTTGGTACTTTGGATTTTGATGGGTTTTGTTGATCATGATTTGGGTGTTGATAATTTCAAAATTTTCAGCTGCCCAAATCCAATTTCACAAGGGTAAATTATATTTTGTATTATACATGTATAATTTATGTGTTTTTTATAGCTTAAAAGTTAATTATTTAGTGAATTACAAAAATATTTCTTGATGTTCGAGTTAGATTTATTATTTTTAAGAATAGTAATTTAGGTTTTGTACTTGTTGTACCTCGACAAATGTTAAATAATATTTAAACTATCATATTTATAATAAGAAAAAGATATTGAGGTTTAGTTGGTGGTCATATGTTATAAGGACTTATTTAATGCTGACTTATGATTATACTACGAGGATAAACTGTATTTAATGTATAAAAAAGTAGCGTCACATTGAAAAATAGAAAATACGTATTTAATGTAAATAACTTGAAGTATTGAAATGACCCAAAGAAATAGTTGGAAGTGTATGCTCATGTTTTATACAAATTTGTACGAGTAAATTATTACTTTCAAGTAGTAATACTCACAGTATCATACGTATTCTTAAAATACTTAAAATATAACTAAAAATGTTATTTTTAAAAAAAATAATTTTTTAAAAAATAATAATAATTTCACGTTATACATATACTTTGAGGACCGATAATTTACCAATTTTTAAAAGATTTAAGACAGTAGAAAAATGATAAGAATTATAAGTGGGTGACTGTTTTACTGTAATAACTATAATGCTCAAATCAGAAAGAGAATTATATGTAAATAAGGTAGAGAAACGTAAGAAAATTGTCTCTTGCACCTTATCCGGAGATTATGGATTGATATTTATACTATAGGAATTTATATTGTATGTCTGAGAGAACAAATTATTTTGTTTTATGTTATGCGTTAGGTTTTTTCTTGATGATGTCCATCTAACAATCATTATGATTAAAGCCACTGAAGCTTCGAATAGGTTGATTAAGTGGATTTCATCAAAACTTATATTTTTCATAGTTATTATAATTAAAAATAACAACTTTACTCGAAAACAATAGAAAACTTATGCAGAATCTCTAACAAGATAGAGTGAGTATTCTGATTGAATCCAAATAAAATTGAGATGAGAACAATCGAACTATTTATGTAGTTTAGAGATTGAAGAAGAGGTACATGCATTATTCTTTCCCGATTACCTGTTTAACATATAAACGACATATTTTTAATTTTTATATAATATTTATATCATTTATAGCTATAGTTACTCAATTACATTTCTCATAAACAATTTGGATATTTATTTTTTTTAATTTACATTAATACGTTTTATTGTTATAGGTTTTTTTTAACAGCTCTATGGTATGAGATTGCAAAAATAAGTTTTGGCATAATTTAATTTAATTAATATAAAAAATTAAAATAACGTAAAAAATTTATAAATTTTTATTCTCTGAATAAAACCAGAATGACGTGTCCCTAATGAGGATCATAAAAGAGGGAGGATCTCGTAGGGAGAAGGAAGCAGAAGGTATTTCTTATCTTTAAATATACTTCATTGTTAATGACAGAAAATAACATTTTTTGCAAGTTCGTCGAATCATAATCTTTCATATTTCTTGATGGTTGAAAATTCTTCAGAGACTTAGTACCTGAAACAAGTTGAATGATTATTTTCGTTGACATACGATATTATACAGTAAACATCGCTTTATTAAAGTTGTTGATGTTACTCCACAGAAGGTCATCCAATAAATTGTGAAGATGAGACCAGCAATTAATTAGATTAGGTATAACGTACCTACAGAGTCTATGAAATCTTTATATATCTAAAATATAGTCTCACTAAATAAGAGTACTGGTTTCTTAAAACCAAAAGTTCTTTGAAATGTAAATATATTAGTTTGGATAGTAGACGTATGTCTTTCTATATCAACTATAATTAGAGATAGATAAGATTATTCCGAAGAGCGAAGACGGTAGTTGTGTGTATTTACCGTCTCATACATTTTTTTTTTTGTCTTTTACATTGTTAACTAGTGATTCAATTCTATATTTTTACGTTTTCGTTCTAAATTTTTTATCGAAACCGAGTATAACAGGGTAAATTCTATAATGATTCATAAAATATAAGATTTGTTAAACTTCGTATTAAAATAATACAACAAACATCAAAGGTAACCTTCTCCATGCAGGTAAAACAATAATGTTGTTGAAAAGTGGCAATATAAAAGGGAGGTTGCTTTAATGATTCTTGTTTGTAACTTTAGTTTAGTCAAGCTGCAGCTTATAGATATATAACTGTGTAATTACCCACAACTTTGTTGGTCAAGACTGATCAACATATCTATATATATATAATATATATATAGCTACATACATATATATATATATAGCTATATAACCAGCTTTCAACTTCTATTTCACTCCTCATCCACACAACTTTGCTTTTTACCATTATCTATGATACTTCAAAAGCCGCATTTCAACTTTTTAACCCCCAACCAAGCTGATTACCACCTCGGGTTACCGTGCCAATTTGCTAAAAATTATATGTATATACAATTATATCGTGTTGTATTACGTATATACATATATGTGTGTGTGTGTGTGTGTGTGTGTATGTATATGTATATGTAAGTACTTTTTACACATTCTTTAATTAGTATAATAATAATAGAAATGATTTTAATTAATTTTACCCGAGCGATCATAATAACTTTAATATTTTCTGAAACTTTATTATCAAGGAAAACAAAATTATATATATTTGAGTACGAAGTGGAATTTTATGGTGAAGGAATATTTAACATGGTGGCTTGATACATACATACATACATACATACACACATACATATACATACATATATGTATGTAACTCACCTATATATATATATATATATATTAAATGATGTTGTTCAAAATGAGCTTATACTAAAATAAAATTCAATCAAGAATTAAAAATGAGAAATATTTAAAAGAATTAATTATTTGAATAAAATAATATTTATTTAAAATTACAATTCTAAGTCGTAAATTAAATGAAAAATTATACTATAACATATATGTATACGTACATGTTCTTATATTTGGGTATGTGTATATATATATATATATATATATATGTAAATCATGAGCTTTCATTAGGCAGGTAGTCAGTCTCCTATGAAGACACTAATATCATGGGGTCACTTTAATTGGGAAACACACACTTGACACTACTGATACATATATATATATATAAATATATATTTACCCATATATATTTATGTGGGTATGTGCGTATACACATATATATATACATATACATATACAAAAGAGAAGGCAGAGGCTGCCCCGGCTAAACCATGACATTGATCAACATGTGTCATCTTATAACATTTGAGAGACAAAATTCCAATTTGACCAATTTGTAAATAATTAGGAGACAAGAGTCGGGGGGGGGCCAACAACATTTCATTTCTAAACTTAACAGCTGCCCCAATTCTCTTAAACCACGAAAATAAAGTATTGTGCTAAAATTTTATTTTAAATTTAATATTAATTAATATATTTAATACATAATTTTATTTACGTCTTAAATTTTTTATAATATTTTATAAATATATAATATTTGTTAAAATTCGAGTATTATACGTTTGATTATTGAACGATACGAGTAACGTGTTATTTTAAATAATGTGTTAATTGTGAAAAAAATATATTTAATTTGTATAAAATTGTGGAAAATTATTATAAATATTATATTAGTTTATATAATTTTACGTGTGTATATGTGTGTGTGTGTGTGTATATATATATTAATATTATTAATAAGTAGGGAAGAAAGATGGAGTGTGTTCCAAGACACAATGATTACTTGGTCTTGGGGAAGCATAAAGGGTAGCCTGGAAATAGCGTAGAGTGTGGAACAACGTGGGCGAGGCTTGACCGAGGCGAGGTTTTGAAGAGTCTCTCCATCCATATTAATTAATTAATTAATTAAATCAAATTTAATATTAATTAAGTAATATTTATATAAAAATAATAATAAAAATAAATATAAAAAACACATGGTAATATAGAAGAAGAAAAAAATATGGATTTTTTTTTTTTGTTTTTTTAAATATATTCATCTTAAATAATTTTTAAAAATACATAATTAATCTCGTAATTATATATTAAGATTTAGTTAATTAAAAAATAATTTTGAAGAAATGAAAAAAAAAAAGGGTTTAAGCTAAGGCTTTTATCATGATGATACTATCAGCCTTTTTGGTCTTTGGTCGGTCGACAATCTGTGTGTTGTGTGTTCACTGTGTTTGTTTTTGTGTTTCCCATCTCCTCTCTCCGACTGCACTCACACACTGTAATTATCACTTCGAACCAATCACAAAACTCCCAATGTATTCTTATTTTAATCTCTACCAGTCATGTAATACATGCATACATACATACATGGCCATATATAATAATAATAATAAGAACAATAGAAAAAAGAACTAGGTGAAAAGAGAATGCCGTAAGAAGAAAGGAAAGGAGAGTAGCAGTAGTTGCAGACTATCTATATATTTAGAGTGGTGCAAAGAGGAAAGAAAAAAACAAACCACAAACCAAAAAGACAAACCCCCCAAGCAAAACCCACAAAACCCAAAATCCAAATCCAGTGATTTTTAAAAAGACAAAAAAGAAAAGAAAAAAAAGAAAAAAGAAAGAGATTGAAAGATCATATTCATATTCATAATTCACAGAGAATTCTTGTTTGTCTTTCTTTCTAATTTCTTTCATCTTTTTTGTTTTTGTTTTTTGTTTTTGGGTTTAATATCACCCACCCACCACCAAAACCAAACAGAGAGCACTGGTCAGAAGTCAATCACATACATATATACATATAAACATATACAAGCAAGGTTTGTTCTCTCTTTTCCCCCCTTCTATTCCCTCGTACCCTTTTTAGCATTCTTTTTGTTCTTGCTTATTTTGAAGTGTAAGCCAACACCCATATATCATTTTTCCCCTTCAGTCCTACTTTCCATTTATATTAAGTTATCCCCATGAAGCTACCCGAAACAATCCTCACAAAATTCAATATATACATATGTATGTATGTATGTATGATCTCTTACGAGTTTAATTAACCCTTGTAGGAGAGATAATTAGAAGAGGAAGAGGGAGAAAAGAGATGTGTGCAAAGAAGGAAGACGATCAAGGAGAGTGTTCTCAAGCTATGATCCATAACATGCAAGGCTTCCAAGAACAGCTTCTTCTTCACCAACAACAACAGGGTAATGATATCTATGGAATTACAGGAACTAGGGCAGGAGCAGGAGGAGGATTTCTTTTCCCTCATGAAGTTCCACCAATCCTCCCATGGTCTCTCCCTCCAGTCCACTCCTTCAACCCGACCCATTTCTCCCCGAACCAGCCGGGAGACCATGACCCATTTCTAGTTCCGCCGCCGCCGCCTCCGCCGCCAATATCCTCCTATGGAAGTTTGTTCAACAGAAGAGCACATGGTTTACAATTTGCATATGATGGTACACCATCAACCGATCATCTGAGAATCATCTCGGAAATGGTTCAGCCCGGCGGAGGTCCTTTCGGGTTACAATCCGAGCTGGGTAAATTGACTGCACAAGAAATAATGGACGCCAAGGCACTGGCGGCGTCAAAGAGTCATAGTGAAGCTGAAAGGAGACGAAGAGAAAGAATCAACAACCATCTTGCTAAGTTGCGCAGCTTACTACCCAGCACCACCAAAGTAAGTGATTGATCATAGCTTAGTGCATATTAAAATTTTTCCAAAAACCCAAAAAAAAAAAATGAAATTTAAGAGATGGGTTTGTATATACATATATATATATATATAATATGATCATGCGCATCACATGTTGTGTATATAATATGCTAAGTGTCACTCACCTTTCATGTACCCATATTGGTTAGTATAATAATGAGCTTTTTTCACATTCGAATATCTCTGTAGATTTTCCAAAGATCCTACTTAGATTATTGGTTTTGATAAGATGAATACATTTACTCATCTTCGATGTGAAAGGTAGTCACATTTTTATGCCTTTTAATAATTGTCATTTATTGAAAATTTTGTTTTTTACGACTTTATTTTTTTTTAAAAAAAAAAATGGTGTCTTTTGGTTTATTCTTCTGGGTCTTGTGGTAGTTCCGAGGAAAGAAGGAAAAACGAAAAGGGAATAAGCGTTAATGTCGCTCGGCTGATATGATAAAGAGAAACCAAAGAGCAGTTGAAAAGCTTCCATGGAAATTTCTTGCCGGAGCGTCAGTCAAAAAATATATATAACAAGAGAATGAAAAAGAAAAGAAAGACACAGACAAATCTTGCATCCTTTTGTCAGTCACATTACACCATGCGCTTCTTTCTTTCTCTCTTTCTTTCAATCTCACCCACCCATTAACATTATGGCTACTTTTTAAGCTTTGAAGAATCATCAAGTCACCAAATTCAATCTCTTCTTTTTATACGCTAATCTCACTTTACCATAGCAATTTCATGTCAATCTTCTGCTTCATGTTTCAGTTTCCCCCGCATGAGCCCCAATCCTCAATCAAAATTTCAGATTTAAAGTCTCTTTCTTTTTCCCCTTCTCGAACATTTTTGACATCGTTTCCCCTGCAGGTAATTGAGTTAATAGTAAATTTGTAAGCAAATAGTGTTGTAATCTTTATACCAGAGAGAGATTTCATGAGTTCGAGTTGGTCTGTCATTCTTATTTTATTATATTATGGTTGATTTATGCTTATAATTTTAAGTCATAAATTTATTTTCTATTCACTAGAAAACATTTAAAACGAAATCTTATTACATTTTTTTGTTGGTTTTTGGTGCAAATTAAGACGGACAAGGCATCTTTGCTAGCAGAAGTAATCCAGCATGTGAAGGAGCTAAAACGTCAAACTTCACTGATAGCAGAAACCAGTCCAGTACCAACGGAGGTGGATGAATTAACAGTGGATGCATCTGATGAAGATGGTAAGTTCATAATCAAAGCTTCACTTTGCTGCGAAGACAGATCTGATCTCTTGCCGGATCTAATCAAAACTTTAAAAGCTTTGCGCTTGAGAACCCTCAAAGCTGAAATCACAACGCTTGGTGGACGTGTCAAGAACGTCTTATTCATCACCGGAGAAGACGATTCAAACGACCAACAACAACAACAACAACAACAATATTGTATAAGCTCAATACAAGAAGCACTTAAAGCAGTAATGGAGAAGAGTTCAAGCGATGAGTCTTCTTCAGGAAATGTTAAGAGACAAAGAACCAACATCAATATCATTGAACACAGATCTCTTTAAGTTATATATTTAAATTGATCTCATGATTTTGATTTTCACTTGGGTGTGTCAAATTTTCAATTTTTGTTTTTCTTTTCAGTGTGTTGTGTGTATTAATATAATGATCATTATAAAGAAAATAGTAGGGGAAAGAAAATTTGATGAATAGTCAATTTAGTGGCAGCCTAGACTTGGCCACAGGAGATCATTCCCCCCATTTTGTATGACATGTGTGTTTTATATGCATGATGCATGCATACACAGAACCAGACAGAGATAGGGTTTGTTCATTAATACTTGTATGAGAGGTAGGAACAAGAAAGGATCTTTTTCGTGAGAAGAGAAACCTTATATCAGCTCCAAACATGGAAAACGTGGACTTTGATTCCTCAGTGTTCCACTTTGGACAACAAATACTTATCCTCTATACATATACATATATATATATATACATGTACGTATGTATGTATGGAGGGTAGTACTCCGATCTTTTTTTGTATTTTTCTTTTCCACTAGACTGTTTCTCTCTCTTTCTGGCGTCCGTTCTTGGTGGCATTATTTATGATGATGATGATCATCATCATCATCATGTAAGAATGGTGACGGTGCCAAGTTTCTATCATCATGTGCTAGCTATATATACGTCCCCACCACGATCATGATCGTATTCCTCGTTGCTTTCGTACAATATTATAATTCCATTCAGTTTCGGGTTTTCCAGTTCACCCAGAAAAAAAAAAAAAAGAAAAAGAAAAAGTTGGAAAACCCTAGCGAGGCATGCAATTGTACTTTCTGATGAGAAGGTTGGTGATGATTTACGTTTCGTTGTATGGATTAGTTTACATAAAGGATATATGTATATATATATATATATATATACACAACCCTCCAATATATATATATTGAGGGGGGGTGGCATTGCCACCTAGTTCTATTTTGATTCTTATTAATTATCTTCATTATCCTCGTTCTTATCATGTTTTCTTCTGCATTTTGTGCAGTTTATACTTAGTTTTATTTGCTTAATTATCTATATAGTTATATATATACTTCGGTTTATGTGCTTTAGTTGATTATATATGTGTATACGTATATATATCCATACATATGTTAATTGGATATTAAAGTGTTACTTAAGCATGCACGTTAATCTAAACGTACATGTACTAGTCACGGGTTCCCGGGTCTGAAGTATTGAACTATGTATAGATCCATCGTGTATATATACATATATATATATATATATATGTATATTGCGAGAATTAACTTAATGGATTTGATTAGTACTAATGGAAGTGATAGTACAAGATGTCTCTGTCCGCTAGGAATTAACTCTTTTTAGTGAAGTAACTTGGAATAAACTTTGTGAAAAAGGGTTTTCTAAAAATATAACTTTAAAAAATGGACTTTACAAAAAGGAAAGTGATATTAAAAAATAATATGTATTTAATTTATAATATATGATTTAATAAAGTTAATAACTCAATTTACTATTACATTGACGAAAGTGTAATGACAAAGTAAATTAAGTCTCGATGATCTTATTATTTTTCTTAACGAAAAAAATACTACTTACTGATTAAATTTTTGTAATTAAAATAATTATAACGGATTAAAATTCTAACATATTTTTTTTTTCGTGCACATTTTTCTTAATTATAAAATTTAGTATTATCTATATACAAGATAATCTATAACCTACATTAATTAATTTACATAAATGTGTATCTTTCTTAGCATTATTGAAAGAAAAAAGTAAAATAATCTATGAAATTCATGGTGGTTTGTGGGTCTATAAAATATATATATATGTATATACATATATATATAATGTTATAGCTTTTCATCAAGAATAAGCAACATTGTTAGATAACCAATGGTGTGTAATACCAATTTAATTCATGAGTCATTTAATTTTAATGTGATTAGAAATTCTAGTTAAACATAATGGAAGTGTTCATTTGAGAATCTAAAGGTGTTTAATTCTAATACAAACTCTAAAAGTCAAAAAGAAAAACTTAAAGTTCTATAATTTCAATAAAAATGGTGTCAAAATCCTAAAAAAAATAATACAACGTTGTAAATTAAGAATCATAAGAAGTTAAAAATCTCATTATTTATATTAAGAATAAGATTATATGTAAAACAAACATCAATTTATATTCATAAAGATAAATTTAAAATAATTTAAAGTACTGAAATACGAGAAACAACTACTTGTTGTACAAAATAATTTAATTGATATGTATATATTTATTATGTTATGCAAATGCAAATGTGTACTTGTGGTATTTCGAGTTTAAAAAATTCATCATATTAACTTTATTACCAACAATAACGAAGAGGCATATGAAAACAATAATTTAATTAGAAATAATAATCATAAGCTTTCAAAAAATATGAGAAGATAAAAAACTAAGGCATTCATTCAAACACTTAATTCATACACATGGAGTAGCACTCATGTTTATCGGTACATAGACTATATAATTCATTATATAACTCTGATTTTTCGTTCACTAAAATCATTCATCAGGATAATAAGTATATCATATTTTACTGAACTATACATTTTTTATCATAATATAATCGATAATTATAAAAATAAAAAATAGATTCTCTCATACGTTAATCATAAATTATACTCTTGATCATAGGTTAAAGAATGTTCCATCTCTAATTTTCCGAAGCATCAAACATATTTTTGCTTCAACCTCATTCTATTCATCCTCCATTCATAATCTCATAAAAGAAAGAATACCCTTTCTCAAGAACATAAAGCAAACCCATGAACATGTGTATTATGAGAACATTCCTTATATATTTAATCCAAATGTAATGTAGAATTCAGTCATGGAACTCTGGAATAGACAACCAATCAAAGCCAGAATATAATTTAGCATCTCAATAGAATCTAAGTGGGAAAAGGAAAATGATAAAGAGCAACAAAGTTATTCATTTTCTCATTAGCCAAACATGTAATGCATTTCAATGTTTCCTCATCAACCATGGATTTGCAAGATCCAGGACAAGAAAAACAGAGCAGTTGAATAAGAAAGCTAACGTAACCCAAGAAAATGCTCTTCATTCAAAGCCCTCTCCTTTTTCTGTTTTTGACATGACCAAGAAACCCTAGAATCCGATAAGTCCCTCCTTCTCAAGCTCCCATTTTTTTCCGGTAACCCACTATGGAGAAATCTTTTTCAGAACTCTAATCTCTTCTATCTATTTCTGCCGCCTCCTCAATCGTCTCCTTTCCCTCTGATTCTCTCTCTCCCCCACGAAACCCTGCAGAATGCTCCTCTGTTTTTTTCCTCTGAAAATCCCTCCATTGCACTCTGTTTCTTGGGAAGCTCTCAACGAAGAAGAAGAAACCCACCAAATATTCTCCATCTTTCTCACGGATTTGGAGCTTTCCCCAAAGATTTGCTGCAATGGCCGCGCTCCACTTATTTACCTCTACTCACCCCTGAAAAGCCAGGATCTTTTCTCTCATTTAAAATTTCAACTCCAAGTTTTCATATACGAAAATCCCAGATTCCGATTCAAAAATGCCAACTTCAAGAGTTATACCCCAAGTTAATCTTGTATTTTGAGAGTTATTATCTCTATTTTCGAGTTTCATAACTTTCTTCGAAAATTTTTGAGCCGGATGATCTTCATTTCCATGGAAATATCTCTGTGGGGAATTTCTATGAACATTAAATTTGTTAAAGATGATACAATATTTTAAGAGTTGTAAAACACAAATTTTAATGTATTATATCTTTCTATTAAGATATATTAAATATAAATTCCATGGCCAGAAGCTGTCAAATTCATGTATGTTATGGGAATAAAGATTTTATACTCATATTCTCTTGCAGGATCACATTATCTTTGTCCACTACTTTGCAGAGGTATAATAATTAATTAATATTTAAAAAAAAAAAAAAAAACCCATTCTCACCCACCAACTGCGGGTGACGATAACAACGCTCCCCACTCGACCCCACTGACAGTTGTATAGCAGCTCTAAGTACACAAGAGAACGCTCCTATGCCCGCCACGTGTCATAAACGTCCACGTCATGCCGCTGTTTAACTTAACTGTAAATCCATAAGTATCTAAACCACGAGCAAACCAGGTGGGCCGCTGTCATCATCTTTTCACTTTATTATTTCTTCCGAAATTACCCTTCACCCTTCTTCTCCAACTGTCCTCGTTTTGGTTGAAACGGTAGGGGTATTTTGGTCCGGAAAAGTTTCCAGAATCGGAGACTTTTTTTTGATTTAGCGTGAAAGCGAAGGTTCTATTCCAAACCAAAAACGTCTGTGTTTCAATAATCCCTCTCTCTCTCTCTCTTGAAACTTCCGTCTGATCTTCGTGTTCGTCAAATCGTTGCTATCATCTGGTTTTTTCTTCTGCGGAATTGAATTTTAAACTTCCGTTTTCGGTAATCGCTGCATTTTTTTGTGTGGATAGAGATATAAATGTCGGTGCAGAGAAGAGTGATGAGCTGGAGGAGAGTTGCGAAGTCGCTGCAAGCGGTGGTGGCTCATGTTCTGCTCTTCTCTTTCTCCGTTTTGCTCGCTCTCAGACTTGATCATGACGTCTCCTACTCTTGGTGGTTCGTTATTTTCTCCCTCATTTATCTTCTTTTTGTTTTTCCGTTTGGTTGCTGAGAAAAACTATGGAACTGCGGGAAAATCTAGAAAATTGTTGGAACCTAGAAATTGTGTGGCTCTGTAATTTTGTTCTTTTGGGGAATTCAGGAACTATTGGCGGAAATCACTATAATTTTTGGTAGGTGTATGTATTAATTATGCATATGCGGATGTATTAATCATGTTTTGGTGATATTCCTCTTACTATTGTATGCATTTTTTGAATTTGAATTTCTTGTCGGCGTCTTTTTAGTTTATTCTGGTAGGTCTTATGTCCAAGTGGGGACCAGATGAATTGAATGTTATGCCGATTCTAGGTAGATGATTATGTGAAATTCTTATTTTGTTCCGGGAAACCCTACTCTGCAGTTGACAGAGCTATACGATTATTACAGAGTACCAAACAAAATGCTGCTTCCTTCGTGAACTTGGAGCTTAAATTTATCTGGACCTAGACAACATTAGATATTTTTGCACCTGTTGTATTATCAGGAAGGTGACAATTAACTGAATCTTTGGAGACGATGGAAAAGCTTAAAAAAAATGCTAAATTAGAACATATCTATAAAATGAAACTGAGTGTGGCAATCAAGAAGTTCTCTATTTGAATTGCTTCTGGAGTTAATAAAATCCATGGGATTCTTCATTTCTTATGGCAGATTATCAGGTCATTATGAGACATACCTCGATTGACAATCTGCTTTAGGGTTCAAAATGTCCTAACTCTCAATCATGCATGTAGGTTTATGTTGTGAACTTTCCAAAGGAATAACTAGCTAGTGAGTTTATAGTAGCTGTTAAAGATCTGCCATCAAAAAGGAATGGTTACATATTATAAGAAACAACAGATGAGGGACGAAATAAAATTATCACATGGAATACACCTTCAACATGCATGGATGATAGTCACTATTTAATTATTTTCTTCATTTTCCCTCTTTTTTTATCTTTATTTTTGGTTCTTTTTTCTATGTCACAGGATTATATTTGCACCTCTGTGGCTATTTCATGCTGTAGTAGCACGTGGCAGGTTTTCCTTACCTGCTCCATCAATGCCTCGCAATCGACATGTATGAATACAATCTCATTATGTTGGATATTGTCTTCCTTCTGTTGAGAAAAATTTTCTATTTGTTGATCATAGCAATTGAACAGTAAAAAATTCTTTCTCATCATGGACAGTGGGCCCCATTTCATGCGGTCATGGCGACTCCATTGCTGGTTGCGTTTGAGCTACTACTCTGTGTGCGTCTCGAGGGAAAATATGGTAATCTAGTGTAAATTTTGTTGATATAATCATGTGTTTATGAGCAAACCTTTAAGTTTTTCCTTAAGGATTAGTAATAAATAAATGAATCATATAGTCGTTTGAGGTTTTGTGCTTATAAACTGAGTCTGGCATTGTCCCATCATTATTGCGGCCAAGTTGATCATACACATTTTATGTATGTCTGACTTCAATTAATTGTAAACACTATTTGACCATATACACTGCATCCTCAAGCATATCCTATAAATTGGAATGCTGTACTATGATATTGAAGGTTTGATCATTGCTCCTAGAATACTTCTGAATATATGTCAAATTCATTTTAAATGTCCAAGTAAAGGCCCCCTCCTTGTAAACGATGGTCGTTTCACGAAGGTAAAGATGTAGGTTTGGTTCATAACAAGCTAAGTCATAGTTAAGATGCTTATGTGAACGATTACTTTCGCAGCTAGTAAGGTGCAAATTATAATCAGAGAATATTTAACTTTAAGTAATCACAGACTCTGGATTTCTATATGTCAGTACATCTTATGGCCATTGAGCACATATTCAATGTCTATAAAATATATTTTTGATTTACAAATTTTATGTGTTGCAGTTGTGAACTTGAAAATTGTCCTTCTGCCCTTGCTTGCACTTGAAATAGCCATTTTGATTGATAACATCAGGTACTTTCTTTTCAACATTAACTTTACCTTATGTTTTGTCTTATGAGCATGAACACCGTGGACATAAAACATTGGTGCGTAAATATTGATTTCATTCATTATTAATTGACTTCATTTATAACAATGTAGAAATGAACCTCAACAAAGTCTTCAGACATTCACATGTTAAATAAATCAATAAAACATCAAGTCTATGCTATTGTTTTTCCAAATTTTCATCTTGATGAGAGCACAATTTCCATGTGTTCTTTATAGGATGTGCAGGGCTTTAATGCCTGGAGATGATGAAACCATGAGTGATGAAGCAATATGGGAGACACTTCCTGTAAGTCTTAGTTGTTCTAAGAAATTAAAAGGATCCATTTCTGAAAGTATACTGTTGGACATTGGTTGCTTTGCATCTAGGTTATGCACCCTGCTTCTGATCTAAGCAAGTGGTTAAATGGCAACGGCGACACAGTTGTCTGCCTGTCTAGCCACTGAGCTACCATATGGTCTAGCCATCTTGGTCATCTAATCATAACGAGTAACTTCCGTACATTTTCCTTCTTTTGAGTAAAATCTTAAATATTTGCTTGAAGCATAAATCTATCACCATGGCATATGTAGTATAGCTGTGAGGCCTTTCCTTCTAGTCAAATTCTTGATAGTTATTGGCCTCAGTCATACATGGAGTTGCTTGAGAATGGTAGAAATCAAAATTGGAAATTGTGAATTCATCAAATGGACAAACTAAAGGTCAGAGACACGGAAGGGGATGTTTAGACAATAATTGCATGAGATGTGCATTTGCTTCACACTGGTCTAATTGAGTGTGAAGCATTTAATTGATTAAGTAAACAATCAATCTGTGAGATTTGTAGGGATTTTCCAAGCTTATTTACCACTGAGGCTTCACAATTTCTATTTATACAATGATAATACAGAGGAAAAATGCAGCTGGCACACGGCATATTCTATATTTTATGAGGAGAAACAAGATTGTATTATGTATATTGGTGCTAGAACTTTTCTACTGTAACAAAAGTTTCAGTTTGGAACTTTCATGAATGTTCAGGCATCTTGAAGTTGATTTTTAACCTCATACCAATATTCAGCAATGCCTCAAATGAAATCGTTCTCGGTCTTGAGGCCAATATGTGAAGCACATATGTCTATTTTTTTTCTCTGGCGTTGAGCTGTCTGGTCATGTTATCTATTGGATCAACAGTTTTTCCTAGCTTGTATTGTAATTAGAACTCCAGCATGTTGCTGTATCCAACTAAGAAAAATCACAAAGTATAAACTTGTACATGACAAAGCAATCATGGCGATACTTTCAAACTGCATCCCATTTTCATTAGGGAAGCAAGGACAAAAGTTGCTGGTCAATCCAGACTATGATTTATCCGTCATATAGCTGACCATTTGAATTAGCCTTTTTTTAGCTCTAACCTTGTTCCAAGAGGAAAAATAAACCATATAAATGTTTGTGATTTTGAGCTGAAAGCTAGTTCCAAAAATAAGCTTGAATTTAATAACTTATCAATTGTTGGCTCAACGCCAGAGTAATACTCAGAAAAAGAATTCCAAAATTACATGGTTCATTACTATTTTATGTTCTCAATATCTGCTTAAAGCTCAAACAGTGAAGAAAATCACTATAATATTCCTCCAAATGATTCTTGTGGCTGCTTAAGTCCATTAACAGAAACAATGAGAACTCTGTAACATTCTACTGATGATGTTCCACTATAATATTTCTTTTATAATTTTGGAAATTTTATTTTATGCATTCCATCTCTTAGTTTCTACGCTAACTGCTAATCTTTCTTTTCTAGCACTTCTGGGTTGCAATCTCTATGGTCTTCTTCATTGCTGCCACTGCCTTCACTCTTCTAAAATTATGTGGTTAGTTGTCTTCTTTCTAACTGAATAATGATCACTTAATTGTAGTGAAAATGCTTTCATTTGTTACATGCACCTTTCTTTTCTTTTGAGGATGTCTTTTAGTTCTGGTGCCTTTATTATTTGCTGTAAATAATATATATGGTGTTACTCCTTTTAATTAATTTTCTGATTTCTATAAAAAAAAAAGTTTCTGATGACCTGAATGTGAACTGTGAGGAATATAGTGTTGATTTTCGAGTCATAAAAATTTGAGCTTACAAATGTTAAATTCTGGTTTTCAAAGTTGATTGCACCTTTTTGAAATTGGCAATGAGGAAAAGAACTGGTAAGTTGTAACTGATAAAATTTCTAGTCATGAAGGGCTATGTGTCAAACTATGCAACTATATTTGATAGAATATAGTCATATCTGAAAAAAAAATCGATAGAATATAGTCATTTTTGCTTGCATTTTGATGTGGTATCTATATAGCACAGTTTTGAACAAGCCTCTTGACTAATGATTTCTCGGCAAACATATGGTACATGTTGGTAGATCCTTTCGACAGAGTGATGCTAATTTTATTCTCCCCTTGCCTTTGTATTATATGCAGGTGATGTAGCTGCTCTAGGTTGGTGGGATTTATTTATAAATTTTGGGTATGATTCACTAGCTTTGTAGCAGCCTCCATCCTACTAACTTCTTAAATTCTCATGGGCCTTTTATCTGTTGTCACAATCCTATCTTTCCTTTTCACAGCATTGCACAGTGCTTTGCATTTCTAGTCTGCACAAAATGGCATAACCCAGCAATTCATAGGCGTCATCACATCCTGGAGCCTAGCTCTTCGTCAGTAAGTGTAAGATATCTTGATTGGAATGGGGGACTTGTAATTTCTTCTGATGAAGACCGGCATCAGGATGGCAGATTGTGCACCTTGCAAGATATTGGTGGACACATTATGAAAATTCCATTTATCGCTTTCCAGATTCTACTTTTTATGCACTTAGAGGTATAATTGTTGTGAAGAGTTAAGGATCATCTTGCTTCCACTTTCTTGGGTCTCTTTCAAGTTATATTACTAATAAGAGTATGCATTTTCCTATTATGTCAGGGAACACCACCTAGTGCTAGATATATGCCAGTTCTAGTTGTTTTTATTCCTCTGTTTCTGCTGCAAGGAGCTGGGGTCATGTTTGCAGTATATAGGTTAGTGGAGAAAACTGTTATCTTGTACCGTAGTGGAGCTAGTTCAGGAAGGTACTTTGATATTGCATCAACAGCTCGTGAATATTTTGGGTTCTTGCACCATGGATCAAGGTAATTGTTGAAGCTATTGTCATTTTAAAGTTCAACTGACTTCAAGTTCCTCATGAACAAACAATAATTATGTGGATAAAATGAATGTCAACACAATGTAAGTGCATTCGACTCTATTAACAGGTTGCTAGGTTGGTGGTCAATTGATGAGGGAAGTAGAGAGGAGCAGGCAAGACTCTATTGTGCTGAAGCTACCAGGTATTTTCTGTTACCTAGAACCTAATAAGTTCGTGTGGAGTTATGTGGAATAACTCCATTGATTATATGCACAGGCAATCGTCTTTCTATATTTTAGATGCCTTAGTGGTAAAATGTCAAAGATGCCTTCTAGATATCTTTTGCTTCTAAGGACCTAATCTGGTTATTTCAACCATCAATTTTTCATCAGCCTTATATCCCTTGCTTTTTATGGTCATTGGAGACAAAGAAAGGGGAGAGCTTTTGAGGTGGTACAATCTCCTTTCAAGGGTTTCTTTGGCTTCACACTCAGACTTTAGTTCACACATCATGATATTTCAAAGTTTTGTGCCTTAAGGGAGCCTGCAGATCTTTAGACTGCTTTTAAATGTATATTCCTTTAACATGGGTGTCATCCTCTTGGTGCCTTGTGAATAATACATTTTCTTGTTCTCAGATCCTTTCAGCCATTGCTAAAAGTGGAAAATGCTAGTGCCACACTGTACCATACAAAATGGATTTGTCAGATGTGCCAAGTTCTTGTCCATATCCTCTTAGTACTTTATGGTCCATCAATTTAAAAGAAACTGGCATCTGTACCTTTCTGTATCATCTGAAAGCATTTATTAGAAATCTGAAGTAATAACATGGGAAATTCTGAGATTGATAATGTCTCTCCACGTAAGGAGAAAAGATGTTTGATTCTGCTAACTTTAGGATCCGTGATGGATATTGATGTATCTAACCTTGATCCGTTACTAACTTTGCAACTGTGAGAATAGATTATCACTTCATACCTGTTGTCATTATTTGCCTGCTTCTCAGATGTAATAAATGGTGAAGCTGTTGAATAATGAATTGCTTAGCAGAGGAATCACTGTTGTCTTCTTTTTCTCTCTTCCATATCATGGAGACATTATGACAATACAAGTATCCAAGTTAGTGATGGCGAAAAACTAAGTGACCAGTGGAGCTGAACTGATCCCCTCTCACTTTTTCTGTATCTTTTCAGAAAGATGGTTGGATCAAGTTGGGTTTGTCTTCAGATTAAGACTTCAAAATCTTATCCAAACCTGACTGGGTCATATATAAACTATATTTTTCCAGATTTTAATTAAATATATAAATAGGAAAAAATAAAACCCTAAGCACTTGCAACATTCCATAGTCAGCTCTCGCAGTGTGTTCCGAAACACTTCGTTGCCAGCCACCATCTCCATCTCTTCTTCTGCTCTTCTCTTCCGTGGTTCAGCCCCAACAATAGCTTTCTTCTTCAGCAGCAGCTCTAGTGCTTGAGCCATAGGCAACTGCCCTTCCGTTACTCCCCTCAGTCTCTGGAACTCTCTGTCACCTGCTGCTCCAGCCTCTAGCAGCTCCAGCAGCCCAGCCGCAAGTCACATCTGCTCTGCTCAGTCCACCTGCTAGCAAACAAAATGAAAGGATGAGCCACCCCTTAACCACGTGGTTTCAGCTTCTTACACAATATGCCACGTAGGTTCAGTCTTTAGTAAACCCACT